CTTAAGACTTTCATGGTGCAGAACGGTTCATCTTTCAAAGGCCGCCGCAACTCAGTGTCAAAGGCCTTTGTGAGCTCGATGATTCTCGGGTAAAGCTTGTATGGTTCTCTTCGTGGTACTTTTCTTATATCATGTTTATAAACTTAATGACTTGATTCATATATAATATCTGTCGATCTTAAATTCAGAAAATAACACTTATTTTTCAAAATGTTTGAACCTCTTTACTAAACTTAATCTCCTAATGACAGCTCCATACATCTCAGCGATCGAGAGGCTTCAGTGTCATTGATAGTTCGTTGTCTCTACTCGTGATTATTAGGTGTCACAAAGAACATTTCCAAAATCATCCGCATCGTCCCGTTTCCAAGTGTTACATCTCTCTCTCTCTCTCTCTCTCTCTCTCTCTCTCTCTCTCTCTCTCTCTCTGTGCAGAAAACTGAAACTGTAATATGGTTTGAGGGTAGCATCGATTGCCTTTAGGAGAAGTAAAACTTATTCGAGGAGGGAATCCTTATTCGGATATTCGGATAACACTTGTTTAGCATTGCATGTTTGAAAGAGTTCATAATCCTTGTAATAGTATATATATATATATATATATATATATATATATATATATATATATATATATATATATATATATATATAAAGAATACAAATCATATGGCGAATAACAACCCTCTCAAGCGTACTGGATCCACTAAGGGATCACGTCTGTCAGGGATTAATTAAAATAGATGCAATAAACTGACGACGAACAGTACGAAACTAGTAACTAACTAGCCTAAGCGCTTTCGACTCTTAATGAGTCTTTTTCAAAGGCAAATACAAAACATAGTTACGACAAACAAATAAGCACAAAAACGTTGCGTTTGTAAACCTCTACATTTCTATCTTCACATGTGTTAAAACTATAAATACAACCAGCTTGTATAGACTAGTTGCGGAAACTGAAAACGTTGTATAATTCCCTAAAAGTCTACAAGCCAAAGCGACATCTATTTTTATTTTGTGTACATATGTAACGCAGATTATATCCCGGATATTTGGTTCTATACCGGTTATTCTTATAGTAAAAATTGAAGGATAAGAAGATTTAGAAAATGTTAAATTCTACTAGTGCATAGTTTTCATTTTCTAGTCTTCTTGGTTTAGACCGTTTGGTTTCAATGTTCTAAGGCGGCGTATCCAGTATGATTCCTTTTCCTTCCTGGTTTCGGAACTCCAGCTGTGGTTGTTGGCAATAGCGATAAGTATTATATCACTGAAAGTGTGGCCAGGGGAGGAGAAGTGTTCTGCGACCGGGCTTCTGTACAGCTTTTTTGTCATCCAATCAGATCTATGAAGGTTTATCCTTATGTGTAGCTTTTCAGTTTCTCCCACGTACTGAAGGCCACAGATCTTACATGTGATGAGATAAATCACATTCTCTGTTTTGCACGTTTTGTTTGGACCATGTATGTTTAGTTTTTCTTTAGTCACTGTGCTAGTGAATGTCTTGGTCTCTATCATATGTTGACAGGTTTTGCATCTTTTATCGCCACAGGGTCCAGATTGACTAGGTTGGTTTTGACTAGCGATTGTTGTTAGCTTGGCCCTGACTAGGACATCCTGTGGCGATAAAAGATGCAAAACCTGTCAACATATGATAGAGACCAAGACATTCACTAGCACAGTGACTAAAGAAAAACTAAACATACATGGTCCAAACAAAACGTGCAAAACAGAGAATGTGATTTATCTCATCACATGTAAGATCTGTGGCCTTCAGTACGTGGGAGAAACTGAAAAGCTACACATAAGGATAAACCTTCATAGATCCGATTGGATGACAAAAAAGCTGTACAGAAGCCCGGTCGCAGAACACTTCTCCTCCCCTGGCCACACTTTCAGTGATATAATACTTATCGCTATTGCCAACAACCACAGCTGGAGTTCCGAAACCAGGAAGGAAAAGGAATCATACTGGATACGCCGCCTTAGAACATTGAAACCAAACGGTCTAAACCAAGAAGACTAGAAAATGAAAACTATGCACTAGTAGAATTTAACATTTTCTAAATCTTCTTATCCTTCAATTTTTACTATAAGAATAACTGGTATAGAACCAAATATCCGGGATATAATCTGCGTTACATATGTACACAAAATAAAAATAGATGTCGCTTTGGCTTGTAGACTTTTAGGGAATTATACAACGTTTTCAGTTTCCGCAACTAGTCTATACAAGCTGGTTGTATTTATAGTTTTAACACATGTGAAGATAGAAATGTAGAGGTTTACAAACGCAACGTTTTTGTGTTTATTTGTTTGTCGTAACTATGTTTTGTATTTGCCTTTGAAAAAGACTCATTAAGAGTCGAAAGCGCTTAGGCTAGTTAGTTACTAGTTTCGTACTGTTCGTCGTCAGTTTATTGCATCTATATATATATATATATATATATATATATATATATATATATATATATATATATATATATATATATATTATTTTTACGGTAGCTTTGTACAAAAGTGGCTATATGGCGCGAACTTAAGGCAGTCAAAAGAATTGCAAAATATTTAAATATACACCTTCCAAACATAAAAAAACATAAAGATAAAATAGAAAAGTAACGATGTAAAAATTCTGTGAAATGCATATACACAGATATTTCAAGTCAATGAGCCTCCCTGGAATCGAACCCGGGTCGTAAGAATGAAATCTTACATGTTTCTGGTTCTTCCTTCATTGTTTAAAACTCTTCAATACAATTCGTAGGTTAAAAATATCCAGTCAATATTCGCATAGCATTTTGTGTTGTAATATTAAAAAATGTTAATTCTAGAAGGTTATGAACAATTTCTCCTCATTTATTCTTATCAACGGATTATCTTGAACAAAGTTATTTCGAAACAAAGCCTGATCTTTAACTTAAAAATGTTGATAAGCATATAATATGTTTTTCTCTGATCAATTATTTAATCATTTTTTCTATCTCTATTTGTCCCACAAATAATGACATGCGGTTTTGTCTTTGTAAATACGCAATAAAAACTGCTCTGAATGTAGATAAAAAAATAATTATTGACTGATGTTGATTCTTTTTTATATCCTATCATGAGCATTGGTTCATACGAAAAGTTATTAAGAACTACCAACAGTTACTCTGTTGTCCGTCATTTTGCTTGTCACCAATTACACACACATACACACACAGACAACATAATTCTTAAAAGACATATGAAATAAATTCTGAGCTTGAGTCACTGTCAATTTTACCATAGCATTTAAGTCTCTCTTTTGTAAATATTCGATTGTGCATTATTCTGTAATCCAAATCTGCGCAATCTGGTGTCTTCAAAAGTAAGTATATTCATTTCAAGTGATTAAATATTTCCAAATAATCTCTTACTCTAAAGAGAAACTGAAGATGGTTCTTGAAAAATCTAAGTACATAAAAAGCGTGAAAATGAGTGGCTATCACTGTGAAACGCTTTTTTATGATCAATTTTTAAGGTATATCGTTCAACATTGTCTCTCTCAACCATATATATATATATATATATATATATATATATATATATATATATATATATATATATATATATATATATATATATATATATATATATATATATATATATCCTACACTGACTATAGTATCAGCAATATCATTTCGAACTGTATATGTCTGAGTTAGAGATAAAATTTTGGGTAATACCTGCTGTAAACGAGTAGATAAAACCCTTGCCAAAAATCGTATAATCTACATTAAGTAAACTTTTAAGATGCCAATTTTGTAACCTTCTATTATCTCCTTTGTTTTTATAAATAAGCGATATAACACCAGATCTAATTAACCTTGATATAATATTTTCATTCTTATCACTCTGGAAATTGTGCAGCAGAATATCATATATACAATCACAAACTTTACAACATTACTCTATTGTCGGTCCGTCCGAGCAGGGACTCTAATTTTAACCATTTCTTGTATTTCATGAACTGTTATTGTGGCATCACGCATATTTGTATCCTCATCAGGTACAAAACGATTTACGAAATTTAAAAGTGAATCTTTACCGTTTTCATCAATAGTTACCGAGGATTACAAATAACTCTAAAACTGATATATTTCATCTAAAATTTCAGTTTTTTAGAAAAAAAATAATTACATCGTTATCATCAATCAATTCATTGATTACTTTTTTATTTTAATCATAATTTTTAAGATTGAGAAAGTACTCCGTATTTCGATCGCTTTGTATCGCTCAGTTCATTTCGCCTTGAATCTCAATATAACACCTACACAAAATTCGGCTTCATAGTCTCTTTAACTGTTTTTGGAGTTCTTCAAATTTGTTAATGTTATATGATTCTTTATTGGCAACCTTTAAAGAAAATGATTTCAATTTATTTTGAAATTTAAATATTCTTGTAATTTTTCCTTATTACTTCTTGTATGTATACAGGCGAGAATTTTTTAATTTGTATTTTGTATTACCCCACCTAATGGGTGGTTCCCTCATCAATAATAGATTTCAGTTTCAGTACATATTCTTCGTCATAACGACTATTGTTATTTAATATCCACAATCCAGGCCCGATTTCTGCTTTGCATATATTTAGTTTAAGGTATACATTAGAATTATCACTAAAGGATGTATCCGTATAATAAATTATTTTTTTTAAACAAAAATGCATCATAGAGAAGATCAAAAAAATAATCTATCTTACTCTGCTGCACTTCGTCTAGTTTAACTTGTTTTCTAGAAGAGATACGTGTATCAGGAATTTGTGATCTCCAAAACGGAGATATTCCTATCATATATAATTTTACAAGCTCTAGAACCGCTACATAATCAATATGTGTGGTCTTGTTAATCACATGAAAAACCTGTACACAAAATATTTCAAGACATACCTTGTAAACATGAAGGGCAAAAAGGGCAAATAGAAAATGTAAAGATATTAAATTTCTGTGAAATGGATATCAAAACATGTTTAAAATCAATGCACCGCCCGGGAATCAAACCCGGGTTGCAAGAATGGGAATCTTGCATGATATCACCACAACAGATGAGCTTCTTGTTGTCGTTCTTGTTCTGTATGATGTGAAAGGATATATGTCGTCAAATTTCTGAGATAATATAAATCAAATATTGCGTATTATCTTGAAAAATAAATGTATGCATTCTTATCAGTTTAGCACATCGTTAACTGATATCGTCTGATTTTGCACAGTATTTTTTCGAAACTATTTTACGAATTGTGAAGAATCTGAATAATCTGTTTTCGTAAACACTTAGTAATGTTCTACTGCGTGGCTAGAAGGGAGGATGGAGAGAAAAAGGGGGAATTCGGAATCTCTCAAAGACAAGGTGTCATGAGTAATGGTGTCGATACAGCTACATCTTTTGGGGGAAGCTCTGTCGCTGTAAATACAGATAGACAAGCTTCTCTGACTGGGACTTAATGACTGAAGTTTTTAGATAGGCTCGGCCTTTATATATTCTGAAATGACGTGGAATAATGCCTGTTCTGAGTTAATTATTGTAAAGAGGCTATCACTTTTGTTCAACTCTTAACATGGATTATGGCCAATTTTGGTAAATCGCTTTTTTTCCCACTCGTTTCATGGATTACCACTCGTAACATGGAGTAATAGTTGAAAAGAAAACGAGACACGATTTGTTCGGCTGATTTTGTTACAGTGAAAAGAAAGCGAGTAATTCCTTTATTGTTATGAATTCTGAACCCGGCTATTTAGGATTACATTTGTGAAAAGCGGCTTCTAAGGTAAGTCGGTTATTATGTCATCCAAGCCATAAAATTGAACCAAGCTATTCAATTTGTAACTAATCTCAAATGTAACAACATAGTCCTAGATACCTTTTAATTTCTCTACCCAAATTTGATATCCTAATGACACCTTCTGGGTCATTTGAGCCGAGTCCTCGAGGTTCGAAGGAAAGAAAATTACAAGGCAAAAATGTAAAAACAATACAATGAATTGTTAATGGTTAATAAATTGCAAAAAGGCAATCTAAAAGATTAAATTCGAGAGTGGCCTTACATTCTACAACCAGGCGTGAATAGGGTGATGTGAGTTGGGGCTGAGTGGAAGGTCATTGAATACTAGGCATACACTTAGTGCTTTGAGATCGGGACACTTGTCGTCAAATGTTAATGTTAAATACTTATATAGTTTGCACAGATTTTGTCTTTGTATCGACACAATTTTGATTAGTTTCCTTATGATATACATAATCCTGGTTCTACTAGGTGCGACACTATTGATTAAGATAGGTTTAACCACAGATACTCGTACCGTTGCGTATAATTCACCTGTTACAATAAATACATATAGTACATGTATGACAGGTAAATTGTAAGCAACAATACGAGCCCGGATGGGTTTAAAGCGGTATCTCGTTTAACATACATACTACCAAGCAACCTCTTTTGATTTTCTGTAAATTTACGCTAAATTCAAAAAATAAAAACAAATAATTTACACTGAACCGCATAGTATGTAAGATAGTTATATTCATCGACGTTGAATTTGATGTCTCCGATAAACGAATTAGTGTCCTAAATCCTAACGAGAGAAATCATAAGCCTTTTCAGCCGTCTGGATTATCAAAGAAATGTTCACACTGGTTATCCTGACTGTGCATAGTGCTTACGGTCATAGAACACAATTAATTTTACTATATAGTCTCTACATTTGTTTCTCAGTACTGAACTTTCTACTCTGTGACAATCAATACAAATCATATGTTAATCTAAAATACCTTCAAAGATAACTTTACGGTAAAGTTCTTGTAAAGGGTTTACCTGCATTTTTTGAGAGGCTGAATTGTAAATAAAACACCAAGCAACGGAACACAGATTTCACTTCCGAATCATCACCATGACTTATTACTCACTATGCACTTTTGCCGAAATACACACAGACAACCATACCATAAGCTCACATTCTAAAGAATAAACAATTGCCTTTAAATCCTTACAAAGATTGACAAAATCTAACTCTTGTTTCACCACCAAATGGAGATAGGAAAAAGTGATCTAAACATAGACTGTGACTACATTCATGGGCACTGACGGTCGACATACTATTATTTTGGATTTTATTGTTGCTCAGTATATGTCTTTGTGTGTGTGTGTGTGTGTGTGTGTGTGTGTGTGTGTGTGTGTGTGTGTAAGCTATACAAATTTTTTAATTGTAAAATAATCTACCTTGCTACAGAACGGGCTCATCATAGAAATGACACTGTGATACTTTTGACTCCTAACAGAGTGGTGTTAATTTGGCAGCGATGAATATCCAGTAAACCAGTTCACCCGTTTATGGCTAGTGTGAAACCATATTTGTTCAACTGTGATTATGCTAAGCATAGCCATGTCAGAACCCCTTTCCCCGGTCAAGCAGATTACAGTTTTTCCTTAATCGGATAATATGACATCTCAATATTGTATCTACTTCATAGCAATCTGTTCTACCCTACCACCACAAGACAGTCATGCAAGAAATACCAGATATTTATCTTGCTAATTGGACGGAAACAGGACAAATCTTCACAATGTAGTCATAATCTTGCTGCACACTACTGGGGTCAAGAAATGGCTTCCAAGTTCCCAAGCCTCAGGGTACATAATTGAAATGTTTCAGCGATAACTTTAGGGAATTTTTAAAGTTTTATTCTGGCTACCCTGAGATCGCTTTTCCTCCTTCAACTCAGCAAAGAAAAGTTTATTTGTCAATAGTTCTTCTGACATCCAGGTGAAGTGAGTAGCTCATTTCCACTGTGATTTCAGCAGCAGAGAGTGGATGTTTGAAATGCGTGTCCTTGTGAAAACCCCAATGTCTGTATCCTGACATCTGATCTTCAGAATTTTCCACAGGCAGCCAGTGTAAGAATATATCCGGGTCTTGTCATGGTTTTTAAAATTCCTCCAGTTTCCGCAATCATGCAGCAGTGTCAGCAACACAATGACTTTTACATACACATATACATTTACATTAACCAGGATTGAGGGTATCATCGATTGCCTTTAAGAAAAGTTAAAGTTACCTGAGGCGGAAATCCTTAACTGCAAACACCTACTGAGCATAGCACGTTTGAAAGAGCTCGTAATGTTTGTAATGGCAGATTCGTATTGTTTTATGGTAACTGAACAACAAAAGTGGCTATAAGTTGCGAACTAAAGGCAAAGTTAAAAATAATTGCAAAATATTTCAGAGTGATACACCTTCCAAACATAAAGGACAAGAAGATAAAATATTTAACCTAAAGACATTAAAACTGTGTGAAATGGATGTAAACAGATTTTTAAAATCAATGCGCCGCCCGGGAATCGAACCCGGGTCGCAAGAATGGGAATCTTGTATTATACCACTACACCAGCAGCGCTTTTTTTTCGCTCTGTTGTTTACGATGGGAAAGGATGACTGCTCTTGCATGTTTGTAATAATATAAAACAAATATTTTTTTTTATCTTTTTGAAAAATACAATCATTCTGGTCAGATTAGTACATCTTAAACTGATATCGTCTGATTTTGCGCAGAATTTCGTTATAAAAAATTAAATTCGACTCACCACATAAAGGTTTAGTTGGCAGTAGCTCTTCTGACATCCAGATGGAATGAGCAACTCATTTCCATTGTGATTTCATGAACAGTATGTGGCTGTTTAGAATGCGTGCCCTTGTGAAAGCCTCAATGTTTGTGGCCCTCTCCTTACATCTTATTTTCATAATTTACCAAAGGCAGCCAATGAAAGAATAGGTCCGGGTCTTGCAATGGTTTCTCTACAGTTTCCGCAATAATGCAACAATGGTCAGCAACACAAGAGCTTTTACATACTTTGATTTTTGTTTGCAGACTGACGCGTCGGAACTGTAACTTATTTGCACGTAAGCTGCCAAAGTCTACACTTGCTATAGCAGTTCTTACTTTGGTTTCACCATGAACGTGGACTGCACGTGACAGTGTGCTGACCAGATAGCTGAACTTGTCCACCGCATGGAGGACCAGGTTATTTACTTCGGTGGTATTCTCTACGTAGGACATTTCTGATGCACGTTGGTTCATCACCTCTGTCTTTTTTATTTTAATTATGAGAACGAAATTTTCACAGGCATGGCAGAAATGGTCCATACCCTGTTGCATGTCAGTCACATATTTGGCATTTAGGGAACAGTCGTTAGCAAATAGGAGATTACTAGCAATCACTTAATAGTTATGTCAGATTCAAGAGGTTGCCGACAGTCCGTCCGGTACCTGATGTCAACCTCAGTGTCTTAATCATAGAAGGAATTCGTAATCATGGCAGAGAACATAATAATGTCCCCGCTCGCAGTTAACCTTAACCGCTTTGGCGATACTGAATACCTCAGATGACAAATCACCGTACACAGCGCTGTTTAGCCCAGTATGAAACTACTTTAGCCATAATCGGCAGGGATAATAATTCGAAATGATTTGTCTTGAGGAAAAGAACATTTCACATGATCGCCATATTCATACCTTTCCAAAAAGTTCGTCTTCAATAATAGATCAAATGAAAACAAAAACTTAATTTTTCCTCACACTATTCAATAGACATATTGTTACAAGTCTATGCTCTTAAATTAAGTAACAGAAACGAATGAAGACAACAAGCTTTGTAAAATTGAACAAATAATTTATCTCACTAGAAAACAAATTGAAAAATTAAGGAAAAAGAACTTACGGTTTTACAAATTAAATTAAAAAATAATCCAAGAATTAAAAGTAGAAGTCATAGTAATATAATGTCCTGAATGAAACTGAGTTCGAGTCCCGATGAAATCTGAAATTGAAGGTAATGACATCTAGTGTGGTCTGCAAAGTGCTGCTGTGTGAACAGCCTCTTGTTGAATCACAGAAAATATTATTTTAGTTTTAAATTCAGTATAAATTCCAATAAATGTCTTTATTGAAGAATTTCCAGTGAAAATAATCACTTGAATAAAGTAATTTGAAAAAAGTTAATCCCAAACAGGTTACAACATTTCAAGTGTTCTAAGCCTAAATGAGAAACTTCTATTTTAAAAC